TTATTTTCTTGCTGTCTAAGCATAGACGGATACTGATATAAATTTTAATGCAACAAAGTTATTTAAATGTAAAAATTAAGGCTCAGAGTGAATTTTACTTTTATAATAAAATATGAGGAAATCAAAAAAGTGATTTCTAGATTTAATTTTTATTTGTCCTCTTCCGATAAATGCTAATGTATTCACACACACACACACACACACACCACAAAAAAAAAAAAAAAAAAAAAAAGATTTGAATGCAGAAAAAAAAAACACATAGGAATTTCTTTGTTCTGAAAAGGAAATTAAATGTCTAGTATATGAATTCGTTCTTTAATTTTAGTAAGAGAGGCAATTCCATAACACATGCATACCAAAATGCTTTTAGTTCTCCATATTAGGAAATAAATAATCAGAGCTTCTTTTATATTTAAAAAAAATTAATAATTTTGAGAAGTTAATGTGAATATTCTTCTTAGAAAACCATAACTAAACCATAGAATGCTTAATTTTTATTTACGTCATGTTAATCTTTTTAATGCATGATATTATTCCAAATACATTGATCTTTCAATTTAATTTTATATTTTCTGAATACATATTGTTCAAGATGGGTATTTTTTCTGAATATTGCTTGACTTTTAAATTTCAAATGATGAATTTAATCTTTTCTTTTCATTTTTGACGTCGGTCCAACTAATTTCTTACCTTGTAGAGACATTATGTTATTTCGAAGCAGGAGAGATGAAAAATGAGCAATGTCCTAGCCGGGGCTCGAACCACGGAACTCTCGATTACGCGTTGAGCGTGCTGACACTACACCTCGAAGGCATGCTAAGAACGCGGGAGAAATACCTTATATACTTCCCCTTTTAAAGGGCGACTGGGGATTAGGGGGCCCAATTGCCAAATCCTGGTGGTGGAGAATTACCATCTTCCACCTTTTTTTGTTCGGGCGCCACTGTAGAGACATTATGTTATTTTGAGGCAAAGGATGTGAAAAATGAGTAATGTCTTCTCCGGGACACGAACCACGGACCTGTCGGCTACGCGTCGAGCGTACTGACCACTACACCGCGAAGGCAGGCTAAGAAGGCGGGAGAAATACCTTATAATCTGATGAAAGTTGTGATATAAAATACTCTGGAATTAGTTTTGCTTAAATTCTACTTTTAATAACTGCAAAAATTAGAACCATTATTGAACCTGATAAGGCATTTCTACCGCCTTCTTAGCATGCCTTTGTAGTGTAGTGGTCAGCGCGCTTTACGCGTATTGGAGAGGTCCGTGGTTCGAGCTCCAGCGAATACATTGCTCATTTTTCGTGTCTCCTGCTTCCAAATAATCTAACGTCTCTACAACCATAGAACTGATTCTGGTAGCTTAGCCTAGCCCATGTATTTCCTTTTCCCGTCAATGTAGGCGAACACATATTACAACTTCCTTTATTATAATTTTATTAAAGATTCAATTTTCTCTCAAATGCAAAACGTGTACATCGTATACGTAATAAAAACGGAAGCAATACAATACCTCTTCGTAACGATGGCAAGGGAGAAAAAATTCGAAATGCTAATTTTACAAAACCAAGAAGAGTTATATTGCTTCTTCAGGTTTTAACTTCTTATTTTTTTACGCTTGAACTCTTTTCTTTTAGTTGAACATAAACTTTTCTTACATTTGAGGTTCCGGGTTTGAGACGGAAGTCCAGTTTCTTTAAATTGCAAGGATTCTAAGCAAAAATATGTGTTTGGGAAGTTCGGTTTTCGGGTTGACAAAAGTGAGACATGAAAATCTGATTATATTGTAAAATGCGGCTCAAATTTGGAACCGGATAGCAAAAATAACGAAGCGGAAACGTTAGTGAAATAACAGGCGCTTATAAAAATATATCTTTAAATTACTTTTGATAAGCTCAAATGTACCATATATATAAAACAGTACTTCAAATATACTTAATAATACTATATCATACACTTGATCAAGTATAGTATGAGTATCAAGTATAATATATATAGTATGAGTATCAAGTATAGCATGAGTATCAAGTATAATATCATATACTTGATACTCATGATACTTTATATTAAGTTCTAAATAAAATTACTGTTTTAACATTCATTTTGATTTTTAGTAGCCCTATAATGCAAAATTTTATTCCTGTAAGGCAGTCAAGACAATTCGATATTTGTCCAAATAAAATCTTGCTTAAAACAATTAACTTCTTAAACAGACTTTTACTTAACACAGAAAAATCGGGTCCAATGATTACTGCAACTTGCAATGATGCCTATCTTTGTGGGTGCCATGCAACAGTTATTTTATTGCCATTATTTTTCCTCTTGATTATGAAATATCCCACCAGCTCGACGAATTCATCATGGCAAAGAAGAACGTTGGTTGCAAGATGAGAGCATGATATTTACTCATCTCCATCCCACTTTTAAGTCAAAGAATCCAAATGTCTTTTTCCCATCAGGCTTTTGAGGAAGTTTCAACTAGACAGATTTCTTATGTCTTTATGTTTTAAAGATACCATACATTTATAAATATGTACACATAAGAAAGACGGACTTTCAGAAATTCGAATACGAGCCCAAAGGTACAGCAGCTGAATCCGCTAACCACGGTATAGTTCAGAGCGGCACATTTACTTTGTATTTGGGAAACAACATCGTCTTCAGCTTCTATTCATACAATGAAATCAAATCGCGATTTTTGATTTCCTTCTGTGTTTCACAGTCTCAATATAAAGTAAGGACAATTAATTAACATCATTAAAGTTTCGAAACTAATTACAAAGTATTGCCCAGATGATTTATTTTAGGTCTTTCTAATTTTCATGTTTTTCAGGGAGAGTAATAATACCTCTTACTTGACTAAAAGAAAGGAATTACATTTTTATAGTTTTTCAAATACCTTAATATTATTGCTTTGTATTACTCTTTGTCTGTTGTTAGTTTTAGCGTATTTATATTTTATCGTTAACCTTTATGAATTTTAATGCAATCAAAGATACAACCTAATCAGAAGCTTCTTTCAGATGCTTAAAAACCAAACTACTGTAAAACACATACAAACAACTGAAAAGCAAAATGTCTAGATATTTTGCAACAATTGGAAAAATTGGTGCATAATTCATAGCGAGACAGTCTCATTTGTCTGAATTAATCGTATACTAATTCCTACAAAGTTAATCACTCGTCATATACGCAATTTACCTTCCTTAGAAGAAATCAAACATGTAATAGCTGGAACGGGATGATCATGTGATTGGGGCATCTTGCCAAATTCATCAGGCCGGAAATTTCTCGTTCAGATTTTGTCTGGTAGAGCTTTTCCTCAATGACAGAGTGCTCCATCATGTTGTCAAGAAATTTGAATGTAAATGCGAAATCTGAGAGATGACAAAAATGTTTATCCTTAATTTTATTTCACGACAGTAGTTTTCTTAAAACAATTACGAAATGAAAAACAATTTATCGTTACGAAAAATTTATATCAACTTTTTAAATGAAAGGTACCACTGGTCACCGCTCTTTTCAGAATACATGTTTTAAATTTTTGGTTATCTGAGCATCATTGTGGGCCAATATATCACCTTTTTTCCAGAGCATCATCTTGTTGACAAGGTATTTGAATATCATTGTGTTCGCAGAGAATTATACAAGCCTCTTTTGTGCGAAAAATAATTTGAGGCTGAGGCTTTTCTACTCGGAGAATAGCCAAAGTTAAGACAAAGAGTAGCGCATTTTGTACTTTTCTTGGTTAGAACTATTTCACTATAAGAAACTCTATTGTCGCTTTCTGCCTCTAGATAAAGATGCTTTTGTGAAGAATGTTTAAGGTACTTATGAATTCACTTACTTATTTAACTAAACTTTGTCCCTAATGAGACTATCTTTTTAATTAACTCCGACTAAGAGGAAGGTTTTATGAAAAGGCTGTTAAATAACTTAGCAATATATAACTTAACAAATACATGACTTATGCTTACAGAACAGTCTCCGTAGCCTGCGAGAATTAAACTAATATAAAATGCAATTTATAATTCAAAGTAGTTTAACACTGGCGATTGACAGAGCAAAAGCCTATCCAGCATTAGCTCAACCTAATCTAATTTCGCGAGCAACGATGCTAGCAAATATTTAACTCTGGTTTAATTTTCAGAGTTGGGCGAGGAAATAATACACTGGACTGTGTCTTTACAAAAGCTATCTGCTTACCGTTCAAGAACTCTTCTTATATACAGGCAATTAATTTGCATCTGATAAGTCTGGCGTTATAATTATAGTACTGAACTTTATAATACAGCTTAACTTCTACTATATACACGTAAGTAGACGCAAAGCAGAAGTTGTAGTACAGCTATAACTTCTGTTATTAAAAATAAGATAACGAGTTAATTAACATAAACCTTACAGTTAAGGTAGCTTAGTTTATACTATACTTGAGAGAAAAGAAATAAAACCTAGGATGAACTACCGACGTTTCGTGGCTTTAGCTGCATGGCCACTGGTCATTTCTTAATGAGAAAGAAACAGCTGAAGGGTATATTCATAAAAATGAAAAATAAATAATTAGATCTTTCTGAGTCTAGGAAGTCAGGAGCTTCCGGTTTTACGTCTGCGCATTCATTGTACTCTTTAAGTCTTTCAGCCCACCGCTCTTTGACCACAAATGAGGTTTGACAAACCTTGTGCTTATAGTCACATGCTTTTAACTTCGTTCACACGTTCGGTAAGAAAACTCGAATCAACTGCATATATTTATGCAAATTAGGATGGAATGGAACTAGATATCTCGAGTTTCCAATGTAGCAATTTGATAAAATATTCTGTTACAAATACAAACTTTTGAACACTGATTAGTGGAAAGAAAATTCCTTACATAAAAACCGCGATACACAAGCGAAAAGGGTGTGTAGGTTTTAAGTCCTTACATGATAAATTATTTTTGTCAAAGACTATGTAGAGATGTTCGGTTATTATGAAACAACAGACGGGAAAAATGAGCAATGCCCTCACCAGGATTCGAACCACGGACCTCTCAAATAAGCGTCAAGCATGCTGACCACTGCACTACGAAGGCATGCTAAGAAGGCGGGTGAAATACCATATATACTCTCTCTTTTAAAGGGCGACTGAGGGATTGGGTGACCCGATCGCCAAATCCTGGTGGTCACCCTTTTAGTTCGGGGGCCACTGTAGAGATATTAGGTTATTATGAAGCAAGAGACGTGAAAAATGAGCAATGCCCTCGCCGGACCTCTCGAATACGCGTCGAGCGTGCTGAAGGCATGCTAAGAAGGCGGGAGAAATATCTTATAACTATCATAAATAAAACACAGAATTGAAGAGTTATGTTTTGATTATATTATGTTACGCTCCACACTATGGTCTATCAGCCAATGAAATCCAGTGCCAAAGATCACAATGATTTTTTAATTTCATTAAAAACTGGATTTAGTTTTTCTGCCTTTGTACCATTTGCATCCATTAAAATTATTATTTAAAGAAAGGTTTTTTTTATACTTTAAGCTTACACATTAGAGTTGATTTTTTTATAAACAATAGCATGATTTGATGTTATTTACTGTTCTACTGGCAACCATCTGTACTCCGTAAGGCACAATAAAAAAACTTCTTGATCACTCCATTATGAGAACAAAAAACTAACAAATTCAAAATAATAAAATAGTGGAATATTTCACAGTTTCAAACATTAATGCAATTAAAGCCTTGACGTTTATAATTAAATCTATGTATCTAGAAGCTTATTAGCAGTTGTGAAATACTTACTGTTTCTTATCATAGTTACATATGGATGAAATGCATAATTTTCTGACAAAACAATTATTCTGTTTAGAGCAGAAAATTTAATTAGAAGACAAACAAAAGTAATATTTATCTTTCATTCTACTCGTAAATAAGAAATATAAATTCTTAATAACCTTACGTAAGATGATAAGGACCATGCACTTGGTTCCAAGTAGTATAATTATTACAGCACTTAGAATTAATAGCAGAATGCCAACAGAATAGCATACAACGACTATGCAAAAGCCTAAGTTCATCTGCAGGTCTGAAGAGGGATATTTTAATCATTTTAATAAATTGCTAATCATATTAATCATTCAAAAAGTTTCCGTGGTCTCATCCACGTTGTATAGCACGTGGTCTGTCTTCTACCAAATCAGAATTAAAAGAGTAGCTCATGTCTGCCGCGCGTGGTCTGCCAAGAAATAAAAAAGAAAAATGTCAGTGGTTTTGATAACTTAACGACCTTAGCACTTACCTACGGTATAAGAGACCATATAATTTTGATTCTTTCTGGGAGTTAAATTTGCATAGATTCTGGAAGAACAAGGTTTCCAGATTTCATCACATCCAATAAGAGCTAATATTTTTTTTTCCAGCGAGAACCTTTTCAAATATTTCAGTGTACTTGAGATCTTGGAAAGTGATTTTTATTCTTTGGATGTATTTTTGAGTGTTAAATTTCCTTACATTTAGAGCATGACATGAACAATAATGTGCATTACTCTTTAATATTTGCTTATTAAACTAATTTGGTATTGTAGGCTGGTTGGTGAATTAATTTTGGAAAAACCTTCATACCCATTTAGCCTAGGGAAAGAGATGTCTTCATGAAACTCTGGCTTCACAAACATTTTTCATAGTTGTATTACACACGGGAAAACAAAGAACTCACCTTGCAACTAGCGTTTCATCATCTCAAAAGCGACCTCGGAATGAAATGTGTATTTTTCATGGCTTTAGCTTCTTTAACGGAAAATATTAACCAAAACTCAAATATTAAATACACTTAAGGATCGATCTATAAACAAATCTTTACCTCTCACTTTACAATCTACCCTAAAATGATTATGTACGCGTATTCTCCCTATTCCATATCTGACCCTCATAACTCCCGCCGCAGAACTTTAGATTACATTCCTTTTAGCCGAAATTCTTTAGATTCACTAAAGCAGCAGGAACATAGGATCTTCAGAGGCTAAGTGGATTTCCTTGTCCGGAAGAAGCCTGGTTGAACGTTTCGGTATATTCCCACCCAATGCAATTACACTCTTACGTTATGTATAACGATACCACTAACATGCCAGTTTTGAGAAGTCGCGTAAGATATGCACATAACATTAGTCGTTATAAAATAACTACTGCATGAAACTTGATGAGAAAATTCTCAAAATAAAATTTAAAGTTTTGAATTCTTAAATGTATTAATTTTTAGTAATTTCTATTTAAAATAAAATATAAATCTTTAAAATAAAGCACAAGATTTGAAAACTGCTTTAGAAATATGAACTGTAAATTGAACGAAGAAAAATGGAGAAAGAATGCTGGCAAAGTCAGAAACAAAAATAGAATAAGACTTCAAGAATATGAAAAGCTTTACCATGAGTCATGAATGCGGAACATTAAGTTTACTTAACTGTAATTTTTAACAAAATAAATATACGTGTTAAAATAACCTCCAACATCATTAGTAAGATTACTAATTAGTAGAAGATTAATATTGAAATTAAAATTCGTTCATTAACCAATGTTTATAATTAAATATCTGTTGGTCATATGCATTTTAATTTAGTTTGTTAAATATAAAGCAATACTAAAACATTTAAAATAATATACATTTTACACGATATTTGATTATTTTGCACATAATAAATGCAGAATGTGAATACGTTTTACAAAATTTCTTTGTAACAAATTAATGCCATCTAACTTCAACATGATTAATTCACACTTAGACAGTGTTTATTATTATACTCTAAAATAGAAAAATGTTGGAAAATGGAAAGTGTATCTAAAATGGAAACTGAGTAGTAAATGGTTTTACATTTTATACAGGGTATTCAAAAATGCTTTATTTCTTTAAATATCGATTTTATATACATATGTACGTCCAGTTACGGCATTTCTCAAAATAGGGTGGATAAGTTTATAATACCAATTTTATCTCTGAGAGCAAAACGATTCGTAAATACAAAATGTAACATTTCATATGGTCTCTGTAGATCAAAGAAGTTCAGTTAATAAAACAATAAATAGAATTTAGTAAATTAAAAGTATTCTCTGCGGCGTTCACATGCAAAATTATCAGCTGTATGAGTAAACATAGGTAGACCAATATGAAATTGTATATCACCCTACACGGAATCCGTACTATGGCATCATAATCTTTCTTAACTTCTTGAAAAAAAAATATATAGTTGTGTCAAATACTAAAAACATGAGAAAGTTCAAAGCAGTAATTAACACAAATAAGCAACATTTTTATCTCTGACTGTTGTTTTTTGAAGCTTAGTCTAATATCATCAAAGCTTTGTTGTTACTGTGAATCAGGTTAGAAGTGTTTCACTTGAATTGGAACTTATAGTGCTTACTCTAAAGAAGGTAAAAGGAGCTTAGAGCAGGTTTCTGTATGCTTTCGTCAGAAACATAATCAAAACTGGGAAAGAGCTGAATGTGCATCGTAGTCTCATCAACAGTCTATGGAATTGTTAACAAAGGGGTCAAAATCTGTGTACAAGACGTTTGTCTGGAAACCGAAGGATTGCCACAACCGCAGATGATCGCTTCCTGTTGTTGTCTGCGTAACGCTGTAAATCCCTACAACCAGGACAGTCTTTCTGCTGCTGAAGGATGGCTCATACCTCGACAAATGGCGTCGCGTCAACTGCATGAAAGTGGACTGTACGTCCGACAATCTGTGTTTATTTTCTTTTCGCCCTATCGCATGTCAGAGCGCGGTTGAATTGGGATTCATGGAAAATCGCAGAGCAGTGAGGTCAGTACTCTTTATCCATGAGTGTCTATTTAACATCCAGAACGGTTCCTGAAGCACAATGATATGGCGAGAGCCAGGAGGACGCTGCTAGGCGCCAAACATCGTCGAAAGAGAACATTAGAGTAGAGGAGGCTTACTTGTATGGGCAGGGATAGCAACGAACGGACGCACTGACCTCTACATGATTCCTCGTGGTTCTGCCACAGCCATCCGATATAGCGACCAAATTCTACACCCTCTTTTGCGTCCTTTCATCGCTGCAATGGGTACTGACGCGATATTTATGTACGATAACTCCCGCCCGCATAGAGTTCGAATGATGTAGAGTTACAGGGGTTGGACAAAAATATGGAAACACCTTTAAAAAAACATGTTTCTTTGCTTAATATGGTGTAGGGAACCCGTTGGCATCCAAAACAGCTTGCAGTCTTCTCGGAATGGATAAATACAGTTCCTGTATGTTTGCCAAGGGAATATTATACCATTCTTCCTGCAAAATGGTGGCAAGTTCAGATAACGATGTTGGCGGTGGATAACGAGAACGCACTTTCCGTTCCAATGTAAACCACAAAGGTTCGATAATATTCAGGTCTGGTGACTGTGGTGGCCAGGGGAGATGGGACAACTCATCCTCGTGCTCAGAAAACCAGTCCTGGACAATGTGAGCTGTGTGAACAGGGCTTTGTCGTCTTGGAAGACACCATCACCATCGGGGAACAAAGTTTGTACCATGAGATGAACTTGATCGGCCAAAATGTTCACATAAGTCTTGGCAGCCATGTGCCCTGACACAGTTATCATGGGGCTAGCAGAGAACCACGATATGGCTGCCCAAACCATAACAGACCCCGCCATGTTTCACTCTTGGCAACAAGCCAGTCTGTATTATAGGCTTGAGATGGCGTTCTCCAGACGTAACTCGGCCAGAAGTGGGGAAACAATGTGAAAGAAGACTCGTCAAACCATATTACTCGCTTCCACTGCTCTATAGTCCAAGCTTTATGACTTTAAAACACCACCTTTCCTGTTACGGGGCATTAGCATCACTGATGAGTGGCTTCTCAATTGCAGCAGGGCCAGCAATTCCCTGTTTATGAAGCTCCCTTCTAATTGTTTTGGTACTCACAGGGGGTCGGTAACACAACATTCATTTCAGCAGTAAACTTTTGCAGCTGTGGTCTCTTATTTTCGTCACAATTGCCCTTAATGATCGTCTGTCACGATCACTCAGGACACACTTTCGTCCGCGCTGTGATTTAGCAGATGATGTTTTTCCG